AATATTTGAGCACGTGTAGCAGCTTCTGTTCTTTAAGCTGAAGAGAAATGCTAAAAAACAGAGTATGAGACAGTTTCCGAAATTTAATCATCTAAAGCAAAGGTGGGAACCATTTTTGGGTTGGAAGCCACTGATCCACAGAAAATGGGGGTTGCACACAAGTGAGAAGCAAAAAAAACCAACAGAAAGACACTCCTCACATTCCCTTCTCACACCAGAACATAGGGGGGGACCCAGCCTAGCAGATATTTGTACCCCAGCCCCACGGAGGGATGGGGGGGGAAGGCTGAAGTGCTAGCTGGGCTCCCCAATGTTGGGGGGGTCCCTGAGCCTCAGGGCCCTGATGTAGGCAAACTGGGAGCCGCATCTGACCCCTGGGCCTAAGGTGTCCTCCCCCCGCCCACAAAGTGTTACAGCACATGTATCGTTTAACCATATTCTGCAAGCTCTTAGGCATATGCTTAACTTTATACATGTAAAAAGGTTGTATTACTTGTATATATGCAGGATTGGGCCCTTAGAGAGCCTCTCTCTTTTATGTTGCCTGAGTCCTGGCAACTAAGCAGATTTTGCTAATGGTTTCCAAATTTAAACCCCAATTGGAGGCAAAGTTATTTCTAGTAATGGTGTATTGGATCAACTAGGAAAACAATTTCCTTTATGCATCAGAACCTGAGTTTGAGGAACTTCAGGGCACTCTAAGATCTTTCTGTTCACTTGTCCTGGGATTTTTAGAGATACCTAAATCCTTTGTATGTCTCAGCCTCTTTTGCTTGGGAAAGGGACTAAAAGAATCAACTTGGATTTTTTTTTCTGGTGTTTTTCCTCTTGTGAGGCTTCAGGAGAAATTAATAACGTCTCAGAGAGGTAATGCCATATCTCTGTCCTGTTCTGCAGTCATGTCCGTAATGCTTCATCAATAGTATCAGTCTAGTAACCAGAAAGAATGTGCATGACAATGGACCTTTGTCCAGTCTCAAGAGATTGGGCATGAACAAGAGCAGTTTCATAGAGGCGAAGATAATCTGAGGATTCCAGGCCATGACAAAATATTGCGGCTCTTCCAAGTAAAAAATGGAGAGCAGGCTATAATTTAGCTGGGATTCTCAATATGGAGTAATGGCCCTTAGGGAACTAAACAAACACTGCTTCCAGAGGCTCCTGAAGAGAGCCACTGACCGTGTCTCTTCTTGGTATGGTTTCCCTGCCAAGAAGAATGTTGGTCCAAATTGGAGCTTAAATCTCTCTGAGAATTTCCAGACTGCCTTCAGTTGAAAATCAGATAAGATGGCTAGATGTATTTGGATCCATTTTAAGAGATGTCATATGCTTCATTTATTACCTGGCCTATTTAGGTTTTTAGGCTAGAGAAGGGAAACTTGGAATTGCACAGTGATGAAATATTTCACATCTGTGAAACACATTTACCAGTCATATCTTTTTGGGGGAAGGTATATAAGTATGTTTTCCCCACACAGCCCATTTCTTTGAGTCAGCACTGAATACAAAGTGCATAATCTTCTGTAATCACTTTGATAGCAAGAGACTGGTATTTTAACTAGACATTAAATGGAAAGTGAAAAGTTGGGGCTGTGAGTAGGAAACTTCTTTCAGACACTAATGTTTGTAACAAAAAGCAAGTTAGCTGTACGAGAAAGGACTGGGATTAAAACAATTAACTTGCCTTCATGTGGCATCCTGCTTGAATGTGCAAAGAGACAAGTGTTCTCTGTAAGTTGGGTGCTTGTGCAGACACTCAGGAGAAATTCAAATGCCATCCAGCTGATTAGCAGAGCGCCCACAACTAGGTATTTTGTTTCTTCTGGTGGTGCAAATTATCATATGCCTCAGTGCATACTAAAAATATATTCCGCACATGGATGGAACATATTCATACGTGGATGGGAAAGATTAGAGAGAACATTGGAAGACATATGAGGGAAATAGTTATTTGATATCCCAGGGGTTAAAGATTCTCCAACTAGCAGCCTGATGATCTTACACAGTAGAGCAAGGGTTGGCTACCTTTTCAAACCAAAGAGCCAAACTACATAAAAATTCAGACCAAGTGGTTGACAAAGAGGAATGTGCATTTGCAGGACTGAAGATATATGGACATAGTGACTAATAATAGCATAAATGAAACACTCACAGACTTCATTTAATGGGACTTCTGCTGCTTCATCTTTTCACACATTTCTTTGAAGTTCATAGCATAACTGGTCAAATCCAGCTTCATGCATGCATTCAGGCTGTCTTCTGTCAATCTTATGACAGGGGACACTGGACATGGAGGTGCAGGAGTCTAGGGATGTGGGGGTGCAGGAGTTTGGCAATGTGGGGGTATGATGGGCTCAGGGCAGGGGGTTCAGGTGTATGATGGGCTCAGGATGGGGTACGGGTGTGGGGGATGCATGAGTGTTATGTCGGGGCTGGGGATGTGGGTTGCAGGAGTTTGGGAATGTGGGCTTATGATGGGATCAGGATTGGGGGGGGGGGTGTAGGAGTATTATGACTCTGTGGCCAGATGGGGGCTGGGCCCCAATTGGGAGCTTGTTGGCCAGACTTCATTTTATTTATAGATTAGCAGACTTCATTTTTAAATAAGTAAAATATTATGTCCAACACAAAAGGTTTCAACATTGTCTTTTTGGAGTCAGGAACCACTGACCCACAGAAAAATCAGTCAGGGACCGTGCAAGTGAGAAGCAAAAAACCCAAACAAACAAACACCTCCAAAAATCCCCATCCCTCACTAATGTGGCGCCCAACTGAAACATCTCACTCCCCTGGTGCTCAGGCCAGATTTATGCTTGGATTCCAGGGTTAGTGGATTTTGTGGGACCCCTAGGCTCTGGGGTGGGATTAAACGTGCGGGTCAGAGCTGCTAGAGAATGGGATAGGGATGGGGGTGCAGGATCTGGTTGAGGTATAGGAGGGGGTTGAGGATGTGAGGTCTGCATGGGAGGTAGGGTGCAGGAGCAGACTAGGAGTAGAGAGGGTTGTGGCAGGGGGCAGGAGCGGGCTGGGGACAGGCTGTCTGGCTAGGGGGCAGGGTGTGTTGCTGGTGGGGGGTGGGGTGAATGAAGGGGTAGGGATGAGAGGTCTGGGCATTTGTTTTTGCATTGTGTTGCAGACACTGTGTAACATGGCCTCTCGCTGCTGCCATTCACCGGGGGTGAAAGGAGCCTCCATGAAGTGTGTCCCAGGGGAAGAAAAATGGCAGTGTGCATGGAGCCGTTTTTGGCTATACTTGTTTTCCACATTTCAGAGGAAGAAAAAGGGCAGCGCACTGAGTCATTTTTCACGCCACTTGTTTCCCGCATGCTGGGTCTGACAGGGAGGCTCCCCCCCCCCCCCCCCCCGGAGGGGGGGGGGGGGGGGAGGAGGAGAGGCTGTAAGGCTGTAGCACTGGCTCCCAGCTACGGGGGGAGCTCCAGAAGAGCCATATCTGGCTGAGCCATAGGTTGCCAATCCCTTTAATAGGGTATAGAATCTTTATAGGTCTCTGCATCTTGTTTCTGAGGCTGACTTTTAGGCTGTATATCCTTAGCTTTCCTTGAGGCTGCTTTTGTCAAGCATTTTTTCATTGCTTTCCCAATAGAAAATTAGAGGAAACAAACTTGAGAGGAAGACGGCGTAGGAGATGCATTGCATCTTTTTGGAGCACTGTAGTGTCTCAGGAAAAAAAATTACTGGAATATTAAGCTTCTCTTAGAAGCCTGCATGTACACTGTGTTCCTGTTCTGAGATAGAGCAGTGCCCCAAGGCTCCTTCCCTGGAGACACTGTCCTTGCCCTCTTGGGCTTCCTGACTACAGCTCAGCCACTATAGTTTAGTTCCCCTTTGGAGTGCTTCAGTGTCCAGGTCACTTCCCTACAGTAGCTCATGAAAAGTGAGAGGAACTAGGGATGAAAGCGACTAGTCGACACACTAGTTGACTAGTCGCTCCCCCCACCCCTTGCTGCCTATATCATGGGGAGTCGTCTTAAAGCCAGCTTTGTGGGAGGGGGCAGGGACACAGCGGTGGTTTTCCACTTTTGAAATGTACAAGAGTCCCTGCTGGGGGAGTTGAAGGAAGGCAGGATAAGGCACCCACTGAAATCAGGAAGGTGGGGGGATCTCAAGTGGCCTAGGGGATAAGGCATGAGTCGAAGGAGCGCAGGATAGTGGCCTTGAATCCCGCCCCTTTCCACTCCCCCCACGCAATGAGGCAGCCAACACCAGCTCACTGGGGTAGGGTGAGCAGCCAAGGAACCATTGCCTAGACACTAGCTGCTGAAGTAGTCCATGAAGGGCACTTCAGATACTCCTTTTCATTACCCCTTTTGTGATAAAGAAGATTCAAGTCCTGCATTGGCTCTGCCCTACCCTCTGTGCAAGGGGAATTTGTGTAGAATAGGGCTCCTTGTCGGTCAGAGGGAGGGAAGGGTAAACACGCCATGTACAGCCCCGCTTTATGTGTGTAACATGAATCCATGGTGAACTTCTAGCAGCCACAGAATAGAGATGGATTTACCCATTTATGTATGTAAACCTAAAGAAATTACTGTTGTAATATTAATCGCTAAAAGTGTGGGCATATTTTAAGTGGAAAGTTGTAATTAAAAGCTGCAGTATAATGGAATGTAAGCTGTTGACTTTTAAACTGAATGTTGCTCAAGAGAGTGTCTGTCAATATGTGTTTTTTCCTGAAAGTATGGACTTCTAGTTTAGAAAAGATTATGGAATGCATGGAAGTAATAGAAATATAAATCTAGGAATTAATTGAAGAATTATTTTCATCTATTTTTTATTATAAGCTTTCTAAGAAAGTTCAAATACTTGCAATATCAGAATTTTCTAAATTATCTCTGAAGAAAAATGAAAACTATGCTGTGGAAAATTAACTTTGCTGCTTAAAGTATGTTTTACTCATAGAAAATGTACACAGTAATGGGTGTCACTATTATTGTAATTAATATTCCCTGTTCACATTTGTGTTTTTCCTTTTATTATAGGCAGTTGCTGGCTACTTCGATGTATTTTTTGAGAAAAACTGCCACAACAGTGTGAGTACTGGGGTCGTATGTTCAAAATTAATTGCCAAATGTGTGGTATTTTTTTAGCTTGTCGCCTCAAGGTATTTGAGAGCAAGCCTGTTTTGCTGTTGCAAGCATTGGAAGTGTGTTTTGTTTAATAGATTAATGTAGCATGATATTAAAAATGTTGTACTTCATCAGATTTTTGAACTCTGTCATTTCAGGTCATGTTCTCGACGGGTCCCCAGTGTACCAAAACACACTGGAAACAAACAGTGTTTCTTCTGGAGAACCCTATTTCTGTAAAGAAAGGTATGCTTTTTTCTTTTCAGTGTTACAGCTTTTGATGTTACAGTGACAGTACTATACATTACAGTTCACTGTTAAATTATATCTGAAAATGCTTTTAATGATGATACAAGTTTTTGAACATGGTGATTTAGAAGGTCCTTTTTAAAATAAGCAGGGAAATGTATCTATTCATGGTTTTATTCTGCTCCCGTAACTGTAGTCTGTCTTTGTTTAAAAAAAATATTTCAACAAATATAGATTTTTTTTCTGTAGCCTACTAATATAAAACTAGCTGGTTAGAGTATTCTTTTGCATATTTATCAATCTTATTTTTTTTAAATGTGACAGTTACACCCATTTGTTTAAATTCCCTGTTTGTCAGATTAAATATAGTTTTATTGAATGCCCCTGCAAAAGCATGCTTAAAATAATATATTAGATCAATGACTACATGTTTTGCTCTTGCTCTTAAATTAATACTGTGGAGTAGAAATACTGAGTGTTGCAGTGCTTAAATCTTTTTGTGGATATAGCCCAGCATGTCTTGCTATTCATCAGGAAGGTAGAAAACTCTAAAGTTAAGATTTCATCTGAGCACATAGAAATTAAATAGTGCTAATGAAAATATACTAAAATACATCTTTATATCTTAAAGCACTGTACAGATATTAGTCAGTCTTGAAAATAAATCTGTTGCTAAGTACCGTTTGTACTCATTCATTATCCTGTTTGTTTATAAGCCAACCTGCCCCTCCCCAAGACGACTAGGTAATATTTGAACTGATGGCAAACTTTGGTTCCCAGCTCGTCGGGGTAACCTGATGGCACATCAGGACTTTTTGTTTACCTGGAGCCTCTGCAGGCACGGAGCTCTGCAGCTACCAGTGTCTGCGATTCACTATTTCTGACCAACAGAAGCTGCAGAAAGTGGCAGCCAGCATGTCCCTCAGCCTGTGCCACTTTCTGCAGCTTCTCTTGGCTGGGAATGATGAATGGCAGCCACTGAGAGCTGAGGGGCTCCATAAAGTTGTTGAATATGCTGTTCCTGAATTCTGTATGGTGAGAAAAAATAACAACACTAAAAGATATGCCAAGAAGCAAGAAAAAAGTGTCCAATGAGCGGCACTTCATTTTCTGGGCTGGAGAAGATCTCAGTATTTGTGTTGTTGAATGTCGACAAAATGGATACCTCTTCCTACCACTCCTGTTGGCTGCCCTAGCTCTTTATCTTGCCATTTTGTTTAGGTTATTCCCCTCTGAGTCCTTTCGCTAACTTTCACTCTTCTTATTTGTCAGACTCTTGTTTCTTATGCTTGCCTCTACACAGCTCCACCCCAGCCTATTTCTCCACTCTCGTTTCTGTCTACTTCTCCTAGTACTTCTGCTCTTCACAGCTCTAGTGTCACTTGGGTGCCATTTTCTATACATTGTTTTCAGATGCTGTGATAGGTGAGCCCACTCTCAGCAGTTAGATTAAAATCTAAGCGGGGCAGCAAGGGGCCAGAGATAGGGACCGGGACAGCTATAACCCTATTGGGCTGGCAGGTATGGAAAACAGGACAGCTATCTACTGTATATTTCAGAGAGTTTCTCTGTTTCTGAGTCTGACGCCCAGCTGGGGGACATGCACCCCTTCCGACAGATGTGCCTGCTGCAGCTGCAGTGGCCATGGACAGGTGCTTCTCACCTGGCCCCAAGCTGCTGCAGTGAGAGAGGGTTGCTGAGGTGGTCCTCTGTCTCCCAGGGAAGCCTGCATACTTAACCACTCATCCCCAGCCTCACCCTGAACAATAATTTAAATAAAGAAAAAGAAAACTTATTTGAGTTAAGGAACTGAGCAACACTGTTTAAATCTTCTGGTCTGTTCCATATAAGAGTTGGCATCTCCCTGTTCCAGAGGTGACATTTCAAGGGACTTCAGGGAGATGCTTAAAGACTTAATGTTAGTGTTGAGTCCTCTTCCTTCATTTTGGTTCAGTTTGTGATTTGAAAATTCTTCATCCAGTGGAAAGATAGACATGCTTATTACCTATTTGTTCTAAATGATAAATTATGTACCCTAAGTGACTCTTCATTTCCATCTTTTATTTAGTAAGGTGCTTGAGAGGAAGTTATGACAATTATAGGGGAAAAAATGTAAATCACGCTGTTCTTTCTAGCAAAGGTCCTCAAACTGTACAGGACCCTTCTCCTCCTTGGAACCAGAGTGGAGCTGTGGCTTGAGGGAAGGGCAGAAGATGTGGACAAAAGTAGAGGGGCTAAGCTGGGGTAGCAGTTGGGAGTGGGGGCAAGGTCAAGACCAGAGTCCTCTTGGGGCTAGTCCAGGCCCCAGATGCACCCCCTCTCCCCTCTCCCTTGGTAGCAAGTCCCACAGTTTGGGAATAGCTGCTTTATTCTCTCTCTCTCTCCGTCCCTCCCTGTGGGACAACAGAGTGATGTCATCACGTCACTCTGCGTCCCACAGAAACAAGCTCCACCCACCCCCAGCCTTGCTCTTCATAGGGCCCACATGGAGGGCTTGGGCTTCTTTGTCCTGGTCTTCCTCTGCCCTCCCCTTCCCAGTAACTATGGGAAAAGCCAAGTCCAGCGTGGCTCAGGCCCGCCCCTCCTGGTGGGAAAACCAGGCCCGTCATAGCTTGGGCTGGGGAAAACTGGGTCCTCCCCTTCCCCCCTCTTCCCCCCAGCAGGAAAACCAGAACCGGCATGGCTCAAGTTCAGCTTCTCCTGGTGGGCTGAGGGAGAAAAAACAGGCCCAGCGGGCCAGGAGGAAAGCCAGGTCTGCCCCTCCCAGTGGACTGGGGGGGAAAACTGGACCCAGCACGGCTTCAGCCCACCTTCCCATCCCTCGGTGGCTGGGCGCTGACTCGCCACAGCCCACCTCCCAGCGGCAGGGGAGGGAACGCAAAGAGCCCGGACAGGAAGGGGCAAGTGGTTGGGGGGGTGGAGGGCGGCCTTGATGCCAGGCCTTCTCCAGCAGCAGGGAGAAGAGACAGAATGGCCTCAGACCCTCCCTGGTGGCGGGGATAGCCCAGTGGACATGGGGGGAGCCTGGCGCAGCTTTGACCTAGCCCTTCATGGTGGCTGGGTGAATAGTGTGGCCTTGGCTCGGACTCTCCCAGCGGCTAGTGGGGGGCCCAAGAGCTGGAAGGGGGACTCTGGGCCTGGCCCTCCCCAGTAGCCAGGGGGAAGAGCTAGGGTCAGGGTGGCCTCAAACCTTCCCAGTGGTAGAGGGGTGGAGAAGGACCGGGGCCTAGTGGCGTCCGCCCCAGGTCCTCCTTGGCCGAGAGGGGGATTGGTGAGTGTAGCAACCAGGGGGCACAGCCCACCCCCAAGTATATATAGGGTTTATATATAGCATTTTGTACGTATGTTTTGGAAAAACATTGGCATAAAAAATTAATCCTCATTCTCTTATTATCAAATATATGGAAGTTCCTTTTTTGTTTTGAGTCGCCTGAAGTGATAGTAAGGTATTCATGATCTTATTAGATTTGCTATCTGCAAAGCTTATGGCTGCCTGAGTCTATTGCATATTACTCTAACAGGAAAAGGTCTGCATTATGCCAAAGCAAGACTATTCTCTCTGCAGCATAAGCTAATCCTGTCATTCCTCTAATATCATGCCATTTGGCATTCTCAAATTATAAATCTGTGGGGGCGGTTTTCCTTTTAGTGCTAACAAATATGTGTGTGTATTCTTTTTTATGTTAATGCTAATAGTACCCAGTACCGCTAGAGTGCTTTAAAAACTCATCTGCCTGGGAAAGACTGCAGAAAATTGTTTGAGGAGATGAGAGAGGAAGAAGATTGAATATGGATCAGAAATTCTTGAGACTAAATCAAGAGAAATTGGTCATAATGATAATCATGGAAAGAGTTCATGGACTCATCAACTTAAGCTAAGGGTGTTACATTTTGATTAACTAATTGAATAGTCAATGGGATTTCCATCGACTATTTGATTAGTTGATAAGAACTTCTGCATTCCACCTTTGAAATGTACAAGAGCCCCAGCAAGGGCTTTTGTGCATTTCAAAGTTGGAGTGCAACGTGGAGCTCGGGGCCAGTGTGGAGTAAGGATGTTAAGGACTAGTCGACTATCTAATAAGCAAATGCTTATCCATCAGATAGAGGCAAGGAGGGGTGTGAAAGAGGGTACATCAAAGCGGCAGCACTGTACAGAGCCCATGGTCCATGTGGCGTTGCCGCTTTGAACTGCCATTTCGAAGCAGCAGTGCTGCACAGCTGATCCTGGGCTCTATGCAGCGCTGCTCCTTTGAAATGCCACCGCGGCGTTTCAGAGGGGCAGCTGGAGACTCCCTGCAGCATTTCTGCAGAACCCGGAGTCAGCTGGGCACTCTTATACATTTCAGAGCTGGCCCGCGTACAGCCCAGGGCCAACAGGAAGTCCTCCCGGGGGCTCTTGTGTATTTCAAAGGGTAAGCACCCTCGTAGAACCCAGAGTCAGCAGGATTTCCTGCTGTCCTGGGTTGCACATGGAGTTCCAACTTTGAAATTCACTAGAGCCCCTGCCTGAGGTTATTGTACATTTAAAAGGAAGAATGTGGAAGTACCTATCGACTAGTTGGATAGTCGATGGATATTCCATCGACTACCTAATTAGTAAATTAATTGTTAGTTAATATCCTTAGTGTGGAGTCCCACTTACCCAGTCTCTGTGCAGGTGCTTTGGCTTTGAAATGCACAAAAGCCTCCGCTGTTTTAACCCTGTAGAAGGAAGCACTTGCTCCTGATCTAATCTGTATTTTTCCCTACTGGGCATCATCTGAGATTTGCCGGCAATGAGCAATGAAGTAAGAGTGCTGTTAGCATGCTGGGTTTGTGTTTAATAATTAATATTTCAACAAAATGAAAATCTAGAGTAAGAACCCAGCTGCCTTTTTTGGCAAGACAAACTATAGATGCCGGTCAGACTTCAGTTAGCCACCATTGTAAACTTGAAAATCCCCTTTTAAAAAAAACAACAACAAAAAAACCCCAGATATTTTATATCTATTTGA